TAGGGCACTGCTGGTCTACTCAGTTCGCTCTCTGTCCGTGGTAGGCTATGGATGCAACGACCCCGGATGAATATATCCGATAGTACAGTGTAGCGGGCCGGTCGACTGGCTCATTGACCGAGAAGATATATTCTGCGGTCTACTCCGCATCATGAACCCTTTCTTCCTTTCCAACCACTCCTATAAAGAACCCACTCATTCATGCTGCCGAAATACACAAATCTACAGATTGCTGCTGGTATTGCGAATCAAGCAGATCCGCTCGGGGCTGTCGCTCTCTGATGGTAACGCAGTTGTCTCTCAACATCTTCGTGGTAGCGGAGTTGTCCTTAGACTTGAGGCCAAGACAGCCGCTCTGCTATCCGTGCTCATCCTTGCTTACCCGCGGGTAATAATTGAACAGGTCCGGAGTACAGTACTGAGTAATCTTGAGGGGTTTGCCTCTTTTGCAGTCTGTGCCGGGCTCATTCATACCCGATGCAAGCCGCTGGAGAGCGTCGTATTTGGTGGATGACGATGACGATGATGGTGATGGTGATTGTTGTACTCTTCTAAGGTTCTACTGCCAACTGGTCGAAGACGGACAGCCCGGGCGGTGACCAGCGCAACAAGCCTGGGCGTGATGTTCCTGTCCCTGCTGGAGTTGGGACAGTGCGGTAATATTCCAGTACCAATCCTTACCGGACTGTTCCCTCCGTCACAGAGTCAGATTCTCAACCTCAATTCCCAACTGAAGAGGTATAGAAAGGGCCGATAGTCAATGAACAAAACAATCCGGTCGGAATCCAAAACTTACTTTCTTCCTTATCTCATCTTTTAATGGAGTTACAGCCTACTCTTTTGTGCATCGGCAACATGGATATGTGTTTAATCAGTAACCGGATCGACCCGATGCTGGCTGGGCCTCGGGCTGATTACATACGCCGCTGAGAAATACAGTATCGATAATACCGGCCCGCCAAACGAACCTCAGAAGCTTCTTGTGTCCCAACACCGAACGCCTTTTTCCCTATCCTCAATCAAACCTCCTTCCATCCGCAAATTATCCCCACTCCCCCCCCCTTACCCTCCTCTCCCGACCTCGCTCACTCGGAGGATTGGTTGTCTGTCCTGATATCGACCTCCCTTGGATTTCTTTTCTCTTCGCTTCTTCTTCTATTCCCTCGCCATGTTCCGCAGTCTCCTGCCGCGGGCGACACCGCGGGCTGCCCTCCGCTCTGCCGGCCCCAAGGCTGTCCCTTCCAACTTCATCGCTACTCCTTCTCTCACTCTCTTCACGAAACGTGGCTATGCCTCTGAGTCGGGTAGGTGATCGAACTCTCCTGACGATGCCGGACAGGGTGAGGCCTGTCGCGGCCGATGCCTGCTCTTCCGGATCAAAACCCTTTTCCCGGTCTGTTCCCGGCTAACCGGTGGCTTCATGGGGTAGGTGAGCACGATGTCGTGATCATTGGTGGTGGTGTCGCTGGATACGTTGCTGCTATCAGAGCTGGTCAGGAGGGTCTCAAGGTGCGATATCCTGTTTCTCTCCGCTCACGAGCGATGCGGTGAAGCCGTACACTAACCTTGGTCGCCTCTTTTTTTTTCCTGCCGTCAACAGACTGCCTGTATCGAGAAGCGTGGCCGTCTCGGAGGTACCTGCTTGAACGTCGGCTGTATCCCCTCGAAATCTCTGTTGAACAACTCCCACCTGTACCACCAGATCCTCCACGACACGAAAAAGCGCGGTATCGAGGTCGGCGATGTCAAGCTCAACCTTGAGCAGATGATGAAGGCCAAGGACACCTCCGTCGAGGGCCTGACCAAGGGTATTGAGTTCCTCTTCAAGAAGAACGGTGTCGACTACATCAAGGGTACCGGTGCCCTCGTCGACGAGAACACCGTCCAGGTCAACCTTCTCGAGGGTGGTGAGCAGACTCTGCGCGGCAAGAACATCATCGTTGCCACCGGCTCCGAGGCCACTCCCTTCCCCGGCCTGAACATCGATGAGAAGAGAATCATCACCAGCACCGGTGCTCTCTCCCTCAAGGAGGTCCCCAAGAAGATGGTCGTCATCGGTGGTGGTATCATCGGTCTCGAGATGGTAGGACTTGATTTTTCCGTCAAAATCAAAATTTCCGCTGCTAACCCGTTGGTCTTTGTTGTTGTAGGCTTCCGTCTGGTCCCGTCTCGGTGCTGAGGTCACCGTCGTCGAGTTCCTCGGCCAGATCGGTGGTCCCGGTATGGACGCCGACATTGCCAAGCAGGCTCAGAAGATCCTGCAGAAGCAGGGCATCAAGTTCAAGACCGGCACCAAGGTCACCAAGGGTGACGACAGCGGTGCCACCGTCTCCCTGAGCGTCGAGGCCGCCAAGGGCGGCAAGGAGGAGACCCTGGACGCCGATGTCGTCCTGGTCGCCATCGGCCGCAGACCCTACACCGAGGGCTTGGGCCTGGAGAAGGTCGGCATCGAGAAGGACGACCGTGGCCGCCTGGTCATCGACCAGGAGTACCGCACCAAGGTCCCCCACATCCGGGTCATCGGTGACTGCACCTTCGGCCCCATGCTTGCCCACAAGGCCGAGGAGGAGGCCGTTGCCGCCATCGAGTACATCAAGACGGGCCACGGCCACGTCAACTACGGCGTCATCCCCAGCGTCATGTACACCCACCCCGAGGTCGCCTGGGTCGGCCAGAACGAGCAGGAGGTCAAGGCTGCCGGCGTCAAGTACCGCGTCGGCACCTTCCCCTTCAGCGCCAACTCCCGCGCCAAGACCAACCTCGACACCGAGGGTCAGGTCAAGTTCATCGCCGATGCCGAGACCGACCGCATCCTCGGTGTCCACATCATCGGCCCCAACGCCGGTGAGATGATCGCCGAGGCCACCCTGGCCGTCGAGTACGGTGCCTCCTGCGAGGACATCGCCCGCACCTGCCACGCTCACCCTACCCTGGCCGAGGCGTTCAAGGAGGCTGCCATGGCCACCTACTCCAAGGCCATCCACTTCTAAACTCCCTCACCTCATCTCTTCAACCCGCCCCATCATGTACCTCCACCTCTAGTCTAGCTTCGCTAGCAAATTCCGTGTAGCATTGACACCATTATATTTCCTATGTCCTTGAGTGTAATCAACCCTTTTTTTCATGAATCAAAGAGTATTTTGGAATTCTAGACCGGCTTGAAGCGAAGCACCTTTGCGTTCGTGGAGAATATCAAATCTTGTACTGGAGTATGTTCCATCCCTTCACGTAGAGTATATTCCATCGTGCCATAAGTACACTATCTGGATGCAGGTAGCGTAAGAAAGACAAACAGATAATGAATCCAGTGCAGTCCTCCACACGGCAAGTGGAGACATCGCAGCCCCTGTTGGAGCTCAACTCAGTCCGTTCTCGTTGCGCGTCAGCTTTTTCTGCATCGGAGGTCTATCAACAGTCCGCGGGCATGATATCACTGTCGAGGGCTACTAGATCTAGCTTTGCGCTAATCGGGACGAAGTCCTCTGGTAAAAATACCCATCAGCAAAGATAGAGGATACTATGCGCACATACAGACCACAAAGAACTCGCGGTGTAAAGAGGAACTTGAACCTCGAAAGGTAGATTGAACCCTCGGGCCGTCGTTGAGAGGCACTCATTCTAATTTCTAAGCCTCTGTAACCATCAGAGTTGTCATCATTCAACAATATCCGATGTGGTGTAATGGCTAACATCGCTGTCTCTCACACAGCAGCTCGGGGTTCGATTCCCCGCATCGGAGTTCACTTTTTGCTCTCGTTCATTCTTGTACGGGTGGGCGGGCCTTTTGTGCAGGGGAAGGAGGTTGGTTGTGTGGACGACCGACCGAAAATTTGGTATTATGCACACCCAGAGACTCCTATCTCAGCCTGGCCTTTGTTTTTTCTCATGAGTAAGGTAAATTTAATCGCGCACTGAGTATTGATGCTGCTGTGCAAAAAAAAAAAAAAAAAAAAAAAAAAAAAAAAAAAAACAAAACAAAACAAAAAGCAGACTAGGTAGACCAGGTAGACCAGGTAGAACATGTGGGTTTGCCATGGCGGGGTTGGAGGGCTCTTTCTCGTTATCTCTTTTGGGCGTTATTCTGTCTTTGAAGATAGTTAGCTGGCTTGCATTTGCATCTGCTCGCTGAGAGGGTAAGAGATGGAGGTAAGAGTCATCCTGGGACGCGGGAAAATGATGAATGTTGGATGTAGCTCGCTGGTTGCTTCATTTGGTGGTAGTCGGTGGGTGTCTTCTTGGAGATGGGTTTCTCGATGGGTCGTTGGTCTTATGTTAGTCTGTTGATCATCAAAGACAGAGAGAGAAGGGAGAGATGGTAGCGTGCAAGACTACCAACCAACCAGGCACTGCATAGGAAAGCACAATCAAACCGTGGTTCAAATTGCATGTAAGATATCCTCGGATATTGAGTGTCAAGTAGGAGAACATGGGAAGTTGAGAAAGGTAAGTTTGGAGCGCTAGCAAGAGTGATGCGTCCAAATATTATATAGGTGAAAGCGAAGCTGGTAAGAACGTTACCAGGTAGGTCAAGGAGGGCAAGCAGTCCCGTTTCGGAAGGAGCAGCAACCGCCCCGGTGCCTTCCATCATTGAGGTAGTATTTACGCCAGGCAGACCAAGTGGCTACGCAATCAGTGGTATATAGAGACACAACTTATGCCAATGGAGACCCTCGCACTGTCCCTGTAGACCTAACCAAGTGCCCTCTCTCATCTCAACCAATTCAAGCCAAGCCATATACACGAAGCATAACAGAACAGACAAACCCGAAACAACAACTCAGAAGCAAAAACATGCACTCTGTCCCATTTCCTAGCCACGTATAACATCAGTGATGTGAATCCACCAGCTGAAAGGAGAACATCCCAACATAAGAAACTACCATAGCATCCACGCACATACAACGAAGAACACAAAAGTGGGCCCGCCTTCGCAGATCTACCCCCCAACCCAACCCCATTGAATACCAATGTTCCAACCGCCTCATAATATAAATAAGAACCTAGGGCCACAAGAACCTAGGGCCACCCCGCGAGGAGACATCCATATCCACTTCGAAGCGAGACACCCTATCCCTATCGTCGCGGTTACGGCGTCGGCCCCCTTCTCGGGGTCGTAGGTATAGATCTGGATGGGTGTAAGTGTGGGTATAAGTATGGAAATGGATATGAGTATCGGTCTGGTGTCGATGGGATCGAGAATAAGGGTCAGCGTGCAGTCTGACAGTGCTGCAGAAGGTATACTGCTCGCTGGATCGGGGTCCGTCGAGGGGGTAGTGGTGTTGGTGATGATGGCGATAGCTCGCGCTGTCGCTGCTGTATCTCCTGTGGCGAGATTCATGGTGGTGGTTAATGTAATGGTAGTGGTCGTCGTCATGGGTGTCCCTTTCGATCAAGCAGGTGGGAGATTAGGCTCGAGTGTTTGGGACAATGCTAAGGAAAGAGAGGAATCTTACAACCGAGAGGCAGGGGGTTGTGCTATCGCACCAGAGGCGACAGGGACGAAGCAAGGATCTGGACGGTGGCGCACCCGCGGAGCATCGCTGTTTGTTGCCGGATGATACTCGTTTTTGATCCGGTAATACACCTTGTTGGCGTGGTTGTTGAAGTGTTGTTCGAGGTGATTTTGGTGGCGGTGGAGACGCTGAGTTGCATCGCGAGGCATGTTTGCTTGGTGTAGTGGCAGTCAAGGCCAACACTATTGCTCAAGTTGTGTATATTGAAAATTGGAATCAATAGATAGGTGGTCGTCTACATATTTATTTCCAAGAGCAGAGGAACAGCTATATTTCCCAAAGCGGCTGAAGTCAACAACCTCACCGAGTCTGGCCAGATTGTGCTACACAGGGTTCATCGCCGTGTAATACAGCATGTCATGTAGTTTGCCTTCTTCTTGCAAGGCCTGCCCGGGGTCTAGGCACCAAAAAAGAAGAATATGACTCCAAATCACCTACATTTCGATGTGGCGTTACTTCGGAAAAGTCGTAGTGGTATCTCAGCGCTGAATTCATGCAATCTTGCAGTAATGGGAATCAAGAGTGGAGTCAAAGCCTCCCTGCAACCAGCCAGTAATGCCCAATGTTTTTCACGGGATCATCAAACAATAACCTGATGCGGAGTGAGGTTTACTCCAACTTGTAGATATGCCCAGAGGACGTAGGTAGCTCTTTGCTATAGGTCATCGACGGGGCAAAGGGCTGGACCCATTCTTTCAGCACAGCCAGGAAAGTGTCACTGACAGCTCTCACGGTCTCGTCGTGTGAAGTGCCAGAGCTCTCGATGTAGACTGGAATTGTCAGTCAGCAAATCAAAGTCCTCACTTGTGGACATGGAACTCACTCTTCACTTTCGGCTCAGTGCCAGAAGACCGGAACGTGAATCGAACTTCACGATCAAGCCATAAAGTCAACATCTGACTGGTCTGGTCAATCGGGAGCTTGGGTTTGTGGTCCTGCGTGCCAGAGTCATATCCTTGTGTCATGTCTCGCCAGCGGTGGATTCTGAACGACCCAAGCGATTTTTCAGTGCGGAAGGGACCGGCTCTGATTGCATCGAACAAGCTCGCTGTAACCTCAGGGCTTGGGGACCGGAAGTAAGTGTTCAGTGTTTCGTGATGTCCATGCTCTTTGAAAAGCTGTTGCAATTTCATATAAGGAGTCATGCCCTCGGCCTTCCACTTTGCCTCGGCCAGGAGGAACACCATCGCCGCGGAGATGCCATCCTTGTCGTACGACACCTCGGGAAACATGTACCCAAGAGCCTCCTCATAGGCAAACGGAACATAGTAGCCCAGCTCCTCGAGTCTGCGGGCTGTGTTTCCCATCCACTTAAAGCCCGTGAGAGACTCCTCGTAGTGCATACCCTTTGCTTTGGCCATCTTCTCCAGCATGCTGGACGAAACGGCGGAGTTCAAGACTGCAACTCGTGTGTCACTGTCTATGGTTTCTAAGGAGTCAAACAGGTGTGACGCCAGGAGAACACCTAAATGATTTCCAGTGTAAATAAACCATGATCCGCTACACAAGAGGCATCAATTAGCGCAGAGTTTATAGCTCAGCCATCAGTGATACTTACTCCACTTTCTCAGCCGCAGCAAACCGATCGGCATCTGGATCATGGGCAATTACCAGAGGTCTCCCCTCCTTGTCCGCAAGTTGCAAAGCCAGGTCTAGAGCGCCGGGCTCTTCCGGGTTTGGGAAGGCAACTGTGGGAAAGTCTGGGTTTGGCTCCGCTTGCTCTGGCACGACGGTGAAATCACTTATGCCGACGGAACGACACAACCCAGGAAACACCAAGCCACCTACTCCGTGTAAGGGCGTGTAGACGAATGGCTGCGGCTGTTTCCATTCCCGGACGGTATAAGTCTGCAGACAATGTCAGCCGTGAAGAGCACGACAGCACAGAAAACCACTCTTACAGCGTACTGCCAAACTGCCGTGTTGTAATGGGGCAGGATACTCTCGTAAATCTTGTCGCGCAGATATTCGCTTGGTTGCAGCTCATCCCAGGCAGTAGGCCATGGGACTTGGTTCTCTTCGATGGATTGTGCTATCTCCACGTCCATCGGACTATTGATTTGGGCACCATTCTTGAAATAGCTGGGATTCGTCAGTGATACTCAAAAGTGGTTGGAATTGTGCGATCAGACACTTTGTAGCCTGCAGCACGATCAGTCAGCAATCATTGTCTCGAACAAACAAAGAGATGAGGAAGAGACGGCGAAGGCCTACCATTGTCCTGCGCTGGATTCTGCAGTTTGAAAATTAGCCACCACGGTCTAAGCTGCCCAATGAACATGGAACAAAAAGCTTACATGGCTTGCGGTAACCATAATGCCTGCAGCAGCGTGCAGATGGGTTACACCGAAAGGGACGGTTGGAGTAACCGAGGACTCCGAATAGAACCAGACCGGGATCTGCTGTGCGATGAAGGCATTGGCAGCCAATGCGGCGAACTTATCCGAGTGATACCGCGCATCGTGGCCGATGACCACACCGTAAGATGCGATGTCGCCGTGGCGGGTTTTCAGGTACTTTGCTAAGCCTTGGGAGGCCTGAATGACGGTCAGGGAGTTCATACAAGAGAAACCTGCTGCCATCCGTCCCCGCAAGCCCGCAGTGCCAAATTGGATGCCTGCGATAGACGATTAGACGATAGCTATCGTGAGGGAGGCATGCCGCATGTGCCACAAAGGCCAATGGGGTTTTCAAGAGAGGGGTTCAGTAGGATGTCAAGCCCAGTGCTGACATACGTTTTTGCAAGCGCAGGGCCAATTCAGCCCAGTCCCCAGAGTCCCGAAGCTGTTCAATTTCGGCACGGGTGGATGGATCCTGTCATGGGGCGTTAACATTCACGTTTCAAGATCCGCAGCAGAGCCTATCGATAAACATACCTGGTCCCACTCCAGCCACCTTTGGATCAGTGGAGTGAGGGCCTCCTACGCAAACGACAAACCAAATGGAGTCAGAAAATAAGCTGATTTCGGGAAGCCGTGAGTTGCCGGAGGAAAAAATGACTATACCTCTTGTGGATTGGTGGGCATGTTGGATCATACGACGAGGGGACAACGAAAAAGAATAATAATGGGGTGAGATGATCGGAATGTGTTCACGTCGGGAAGAAGACCGATGGAGGGGGGGGGGGGGGGAGAGAAAGGAACAAGAAGTAAAGGGGAAAGAAAGCACGGAGTACGGGGAGTAGATGGGGTATTGAAAGGGGAAAGAAAATCAAGCGAGAATACTTAGCCAGCAAACAATAATAATCAGCAACGACGAGAATACAAAGAGAACAAAAGAACAAAAGCTTTGATAAGTAGTGACAAGTCAAGTTACTGAGTAAGTCATCAAGATTATGTTGGTGTGGGGGGGAGAAGGAGAAGGGGGGGGGGGAGGAATTCAAAAGGAGGAAAAGGCCAAAGCAGCACAGCACAGCATGAATTCAGGTTGAAGATGGAGAGAGACAGACAGAGAGTGGCTTTGGGCGGGATGTCTGGATCCGGTGACGATCGGCGGCTCTCCCCGCCCTGGACTGTTTTATTCTTAGCTGTGGTTGTGGACTGTTGTTACTGTTGTTGACTGATGTTCCACTACGGAGCACTACGTACTGTTTAACTGCTTGGTGCTTAACTTAGTGCTTTTAGTGCTTAGTAGTTAGTTAGTCTCCGCCATTCTTTCCGCCGGGCCTCTTTCAAGTTTCAACATCCAACCCGCGCGTCCTTGCATTCTTCCTCCCTCTCCTCTTCTCTCTTCTATTCTATCTCTTCCTCTCCCTCCCTCCTCACCCCCTTCTTTATTATCTCTCCAATCTCATTCCCACCACCTTTCCATTCTCGATTGGCACTATCAGCAGTACAATGCCCTTTCTCACTGACCGTTCCTAAACATCCACGACCCGCAATTGTGTTCACCGCGCAGGCAGCAATGGCCGCAATGGGGAAGAGTCCTGCGACCCGGAAGGAAACCCTTCTCTCGCGCCGCTACATCGAGGGCCTTATCGCAGATGGGAAACAGATCATCATCTTCGACGATCGTGTCTTGAAAGTCGACGCTTGGATTCCCTATCACCCCGGAGGTGATAAATCCATCAGACACATGGTCGGAAAGGATGCAACGGATGAGATCAATGCGTACGTGGCCTCGCGCTTGGGCCATACTTAGGCCATACTTTGCCATGGAACTATAACTGATCGTCTGCATGAATATAGATTGCACTCCAAGGAAGCGCGTCAACGCATGCTATCGTTCCAGATCGGCCGCATCCAGGGCCCATGGTTGAACTTCCTGCCTCCGTTCCAGGGCGGGAAGTTCCGTCCCTACACCGAAGATTGCGTCTCCGACGGCGAGAGTTCAGGCCAGGAGAGTTCCGGACAGGAAACGTCACAGCCTCCGTCCCCGATCTTCGACGCAGTAGATTCGACTGCGTCTCTTCGCCAGCGAAAGGCCCCCTCCGCCGAAACCCCGGATTCAGCCGCACCGCTGGAGGACGAGTCCAAACCCAAACCCTTCTTTCTCGATGCGCGCACCCGGGAAGAGATCATCTTTGACACTGCCAAATATCCCTCCCTCGACGCAGCAAATCAAGACAAAATTCGGCAGCGATACCGTCAATTAGACCAACAGATTCGGGCAGAGGGTCTGTACGATTGCCGCTACTTCTCATACTTCATTGAATGTTGTCGGTATACACTGTTCGCGGGCCTGTCATATTACTTCCTCCATCTAGGGTGGTATGGAACGTCTGGGTTCTTCTTGGGATGCTTTTGGCACCAGCTTGTCTTTACCGCCCATGATGCTGGCCACATGGGTATAACGCATAACTTTCACTTCGATTCAGTGATTGGTATTATTATCGCCGACTACTTGGGAGGACTGAGTCTCGGGTGGTGGAAACGGAGCCATAACGTTCATCATATCGTGACCAACGCCCCCGAGCATGATCCAGACATCGAGCATATGCCGTTCTTTGCTATTTCCCACCGCTTCCTCACCAGTCTGCGCAGTACATACTATGACCGCGTGATGACCTTCGACGCTGTAGCGAAGTTCATGCTGCGCTTCCAGAACTATCTCTACTACCCTATCCTACTCTTTGGGCGATTCAACCTGTACCGTCTGAGCTGGGAATATCTATTCATGGGCCAGGCGCCGAAGAAGGGCCCTGCCTGGTGGCATCGCTGGTTCGAGATCGGCGGGCAGGTCTTCTTCTGGTTTTGGTTCGGCTACGGGGTGATGTACTGCACCATCCCCGACTGGAAGAGCCGGTTGACCTTCCTTATGATCTCGCACATGGTCACCTCGCCCCTCCACGTGCAGATCACCCTCTCCCATTTCGCCATGTCCACGTCCGACATGGGGGTCACCGAATCCTTCCCCCAGAGAATGCTGCGCACCACCATGGACGTAGACTGCCCGACTTGGCTCGACTGGTTCCACGGCGGCCTGCAATTCCAAGCCATCCACCACCTGTACCCGCGCATTCCCCGCCACAACCTGCGCCGCACGCAACGGCTGGTTCTGGATTTCTGTCGCGACACCGGCATTCCCTACACCATCTTCACCTTCTACGATGGCAACAAGGAGGTCATCGGCAAGCTCGGCGATGTGGCCAAGCAAGTCCGCATTCTGGAGGAATGTAGAAAGTCGTGTGCTCAACAGGGAGTCTTCTCGGATCACCACTAGAACCCAAACTCACTAGGAACAGACGGACGTTGATATTCGGTGGTTGCAAGTCCTGCTGTGGGTTTGTTCTCCGGCGGTATGGTATGTAAGCGTAGAACTGCTTTTGTATATAGTTCAGCCCCCTTGGCCAGACACACAGACACGCATGTACATGTACACTTGGACGCAGGACTTACATCACGGGTCGGTGTTTTCGATGGTCACTTATGAAGAATCTGACGTTTCTAATGACGTGATGTTTGGTTGGGCTGGGCTCTTTTGGTCGTCCGATAAGTTAGATCGTTGTCACTTGTGCTGGGAGCATATAAATATGATCTCCCATTACCTTCTCTATTAGAGTGCAGCTTATGTCCAGCTCATGTTACCAGCAGAAGCCCTCAACACAAGCCCAGGCGAATCTCCCTCTGAATCCAGGGTATCATATATACTGCAGCCCCGGATCACATCTTCCTATCTAAAACCCCTCTCATACCATCATAACTAACCAACCATCCCCCCAGCCCTCGCCACCTTCTTCGCCCTCTGCTGCCTCCGATTATGATTTGCCCGACTAGCCTTATTTTCCTCTTTGCGCTGTCGCGCCGCAGCGGGATTCTGTCCCTGGCTGTCCCCTGCGACAGCACTACCACCACCAAAACCACCACCGCGTTCGCCACCTCGCCCTCTCCCACCCCTCCCTCTGCCCCTACCACCGTCACCACCACCACCCCTCCCTCTCATCGAGGCCATCTCACCCCGACTCCCACCCTCCGCATCTTCATCCTCAACACCGCGCCGATAAGCCGTGGAGACCAAGACCGGCTGATTCAGCCCCCCGTCTCTTCCCCCCTGGCCATCCAACACCGCCTCCTCCAATCGCCTCAACCGCTTCGGATCCCGCGCCACCATCACCGCCCACCCCTCGATCGCCTCGTCGGTCATCCCGGTCTCGCGCTTCAGCGCGGCGCGGGGCTGCGCGCGCCGGGTCGCGGAGTCGCGGGCGAACAGCGCCGGGTTGGATTGGTAGGCGCGGTAGAGGGTGAGTTCGGTTTCTTCGGGGCTGGTGGTTGTGGGCTTGGGGGGTTCGTCCTCGGCAGCGGCGACGGTCGTGTCCACCGTGCCGCCGACGTCGGTCACGTCGTAGGTGTCGTCGCGTTCGTCGTCGTCGGAGTCGAAGGTGGCGAGGGCGGACATAATGGCTGCTTTCTGGGCGGCGTGGTTGGAGCGGTCCGACAATAACGAGTCGGCGGTGAGGGTGGGGTTGGCACGGCCGAAGCGGAGGGATTGGTGTTGTGAGGTGGTGTCGGAGCGGGAGAGTTCGGCGAGATCGATTTCGCGGTCGAAGATGTTCTTGCGCTGGGGTGGGGGTGCTGTTGTTGTACTGAGTAGGGTTGGGGAGCGTGGGGGGAAGGGGTCGTGGTGGGTGGTATTCGATGAAGGGGATGGGGTGGGCAGGGATTCGGATTTGTCGAGGATTTGTAGTTCGGGGGCCAGGGAGTCGTCGAGGAGGTGGGCGACGATGGTTTCGGGGTCGTCGTTGTAGTGGTCAAGCAGACGCGCGATATAGCCGGTGCCCAGGTCGGGGAAGAGGTCTTGGACTTGCGTGATGAGGGACATCTTGTGGATGTGGAGGTCCTCGGCGGCCTTGGGCAGCAGGTCGTCCTCCGTGGCCCGGCCTTTGCCTTTATTGACGGCGGCGCGCTTGCGCGGTTTCTGGTAGCGGCGGTGCAGGTGCTGTGTTTCGGCTTGGTATGCGCGTAGGCTGGCGAGGAGGTCCTGGCCGCGCTTTTGAGGGTTGACATCTGTGCTGAGGTGGCGGTCGAGGCGGCCTAGGAAGTCGGTGCTGCAGATGACCTCGGACAGGAGGGTGGACTCCTTCTTCGTGCCGATACCAACCCCGGCGCTGGCTTTCATCCCGTACAGCTGGTCCAGGAGCGACGACAGGTTGGGCTTGGAGCTCTTGAGAAAGGAACACAGCCCCACGTAGACACTCGCCACGAGCACTTTGAGGACGTCCTCGCGCTTATGTGCTTGATATGCGTCTACTACAGTATCGAGGAAGTCGGAGCCGGCCATGAGCACCTGGCCGCAGCCGGGCAGGACCGATGACAGGATCGTCAGAAGTCGGAAATCCACTAGCACCCCGGAAGGCTTGCTGAGGTTCAAGGACGAGAGATCCCTGATTGCTTGGACCTTGGCCTTCTCCAGGCTGGACGTGATCGCATCCTCATGCTTGTCCCATGCATCAGCCAGTAGCCTCTTCAATGCGGAGCTCGAGGGGTAACAGCAACACATGCCAGCAAGAACTCTCCAATCCAGAAGCTCCGGCGGGGTGGGCGAGACCTCGAGGAGAAGCCTTCGCGTGAGGAGAAAGCATAATTTCCGCAATGAGCGTGTGATCGGCGCCGTCTGAGACCGAAATAAGCTGGAGTTGATCGATTGGCGGTAGAAAGAACTCAAGAATGCCACGGTAGACTCGTCGTTCAAGGCATGTTCCTTGAACTGCGACGCGGGAGCTTCAACGCGCAAGCCCAGAAGCATGATCCAAGCATCTATATAGAGCTCCCATTCCGCGGGGGGGATGTTGCGCTGCACCTCTGGAGGTGGGACCGGCGCAAGAGGTGGTAAACCCGGCATGACTGTGAGGGTGTAATTAAGCGTAAGCGACGGTGAAGGTCTGGTGATTCAAGATCGCAACAATGGCACGGAAGTCTATAGCGAAGGACAGATATCATAAATCATCAACATCATCACTGGTCGTTTGCAACAAGACATCATCATCGGGCTCCATCACCGCCCGCCCGCCGCCGGACCATCTATTCCTGGCTTAACCCGATCCAGACGCCGCCGCGCAGTATCTGCTGACTCATCCACGATCGCGCTCAATGCGGGTTAGCGGTTGATAGGCGAGGATGCCAAGGCCAGCACCCGCACAAGAGCCGCTAAGCGCACGATGAGAAAAAAAAATAGTGGGAGGATTGATTTCAATCTATTAGTCCTCGAATAGCTACAGACCCTCTTCAACAAGCCATCATCACCTTACCGAACCCCCGAAGTTCAGGTCTTGATTGGTAGCCAGCCTCACCTTACGGTATGTTCCATTTCCTCCTTTTCTTCCTCTCTTTGAACGACAGCTGATCCAACCTCCCCCTCCCCTCCACAGCCATCTCAATCCCACGGTCTCACCCCACCGCTCAATACATTCAAGATGTCTTTCCAGAAGCCCGAGAAGGATTTCGGCGAGGGCCCCGTACGTTGCTCCTCACTACTACTCGCACCTTGCTGTCTCGTCGCAAAGACACGCATTGGCATAGCGACTTGATACAAAGCAAAACGAAAACATGCGACTAACCTCATCTTGCTTTTCGCTGGTCTACAGAAGGTCCACAAGATCCGCATCACCCTTACCTCTCGCAAGGTCGCCTCCCTCGAGAAGGTCTGCACTGAGCTGATCGACCGTGCCCGCTCCAAGTCCCTCCAGGTCAAGGGTCCCGTCCGTCTCCCTACCAAGACCCTTCACATCTCCACCCGTAAGACCCCCAACGGTGAGGGTTCCAAGACCTGGGACAAGTACGAGATGCGCATCCACAAGCGTCTCATCGAGTAAGTTCTTCCACAACGATTCGATAGACAATGCACCCGGCAAGAAACTAAAATGGAAACCCCAAAGCCTCCTCGCCCCCACCGAGACCGTCAAGCAGATCATCATCAACATCGAGGCTGGTGTTGAGGTTGAGGTCACCATTGCCGCTTAAATGCGTGTCTAAACTCTTCGTTGAGACTGGTGACCGTGGCGGCAGCGGCGCCGACGATGTGCTCGTCTGGCTTCTTGGGAGAGATTCCGCTTCCAGGCCTGTATCAAGCAGTTGTCGATACCCGCTTAAACCTGGCATAAAAATGAAAAACTTCTAAAAAACGCGTAATCATGAGTTCTGTGCGGATATGTAGCTCGTACAAATGCTATTAGCCTGTAATTTCGACCCTGTGCCAATATCCTGTCCAATCCAACCTGGACGCCATTCGTCTTTGGGAATAATAAGTAAGCAGCTATTTACAATACAAAGGCTAAGCATGATACTAAGTCCTTTCCGCTCGGTCACCTGTCCCACTAGAAGTCGAAGCTCACCCACTCGGTCTTTGGCGGTACGCTGGGAATGACCCCGTTCTCGAAACACCCATTCGTCACGAAGTACTCGTACTGTTGTGTAATCTCGGCCGTATACTCCTCGGGCCGGGCCTGAGCATCCCTTAGACTAGCTTCATCAGGTGGCCCATCTGGGAAAAAGATGCGGACGTAGATTTTACGATCCTGCGGATGAAGATAGCACGGTACGTCGTTGATATATTCCACGGGTTGACCCTTCCAAGAGGTGAGCTTTCTTGTCCTGGGATCGCGAATCGTCTGTCCGTTGAGAGGTGGGATGGGGCTGAGCTCGCTTGGGTCTCTCGTTCTGATGACAGGGGCTGGCCCAGGTCCCAATGGCGCAGTAGGAGCAGCAGGGGCTGCCGGAGCAGCCGCTGACGTTGTCGGTATGCCGAACCCCGAAGTTGCCGGCGTTGATGCTGCCCCGAACCCCGAAGTTGCCGGCGTTGATGCTGCCCCGAACCCAGGAGCCGCAGGAGCCCCAAACCCTGGCGCTGCCGGTGTACCGAACCCTGGCGCTGCGGGCGTTGATGCTGCTCCAAACCCAGAAGCTGCTGCCGGCTTTGCAGCGGAAGCTTGCTGACCCAGCTGCGCGAAACCAGACTGGCCAAATACTGGCTCGGCTGGTCGTTGGTTTGTGACTCCAGAGGAGGGAATTGCTTGGCCAAATGGGTTTGATGGCTGACCACTACCAAAGGGTGATGCTGATGGTTGACCAAATGTTGACCCACCAGATTTTGCATTTGCAAACTGCGCAAACGGGGAGGGCGTGGATGCAGATGCGCCAAAGCCGCCAGATGCCTTACTAAACGGAGACGCTGTGGCTCCTGCAGCTGAAGGCTGACCGAAGGAAGGCTGGCCAAACCCAGGTGCGGGTTGCCCAAATGACGGTTGCCCAAAAGCCGATTGTGCGGATGGCTTGCCAAACGACGAGCCCTGGTTGAAGGCACTTGGTTGTCCAAAGCCAGTTGCATGTGCAAGATTCGAAGGTTGACCGAACCCAATGGGTGGAGCGATAGATGGTTTTGCGTAAGCTTGATCGCCCAATAATGCTGGCTCACCGAAGGCTGGACCTGTGGCAGGGGGTGCCTTGATCTCTCCAAATAGCTTAGGCGGAGCGCCGAAAGTCGTGCCGGTCGTGTTGTTCACAATGTCAATTCGATTCGGATGCTCCTTGGCACCATCTAGGATATATCTGACAGCTCCATCCAGGTCCCTGAGAGCGATTTCCATTTGGTTTCGTGCCTCATTGTGGAGACCCTGGGCTTCTGAAACTGCTACCTCAATTGGGCTACCTTGAGCGACTAGTTCATAATGACGGAGTCGTAGTTCTTCGAAGCTCTGTTCTCGCTGAGGGCCTCCAAATAGTTGCCTGGGGGCATCTCTTCCGGGACCATAGCATGAAAAGATCCATTCAGGGAGCCCCTTGCCAGGAGTCAGGTCTGCTTTGATATCTGCTGCGGTGATCCCATATCTGACCATGTTTAGTGCGCATTCTGAGATCTCGAGGAGATGACATGATCTACTCACTGCGCATTTTGCTGATTTTGCCCACCACGACCTATATAGCAATCAGCAATCGCGTACTCATGGGTAGTCCGTTGACGGCAGCATGTAAACTCCGACAGACGAGGGTGAGAAGTAACGAAATCAAGGCAAGCGCGACAATCTCAATCAGACGAACAAAAGATTTACATCAGACACAAAAGAACTATGGATCACCAAAATGATCAAGAACAAAATCACAAGCATTTAGGGGAAAGGTGCATCTTGCGCATGGGCAAGACGATTCACATACCTCCACCTCCGCCGCCTCCGCCGCCGCCGCCGCCGCCGGAGAGAGCTGCGAATTTGTTCCCGCCTACTGTTTGCTTGCCGGGGTGCTCATTGTAGCATCTGTCTGTAGGTCAAATTAGTAATGTGTCCGTGAGACATGATTCAGAGCCAAGACAAGCCAATTCAAAGGTAAGAGACTAAGCAAGCTCATACCTCCATATTTACACCGGCCTTTCAAGAAATGCTGGCAAACGGGCATGTTGCGTTCGCGTCGGGCGTCCTCACTCGGCCAGTAGGAGCATACGAGAACGTCCTGTCGAGTCTTCGTTCGCGATAGCGGCCTCTCTCAGAGCCTGTCCGTTGATTCTCGATAGGCCAATTCCAATCTATGTGTAATTTTTCTAATGAAGAAGAAGAAATATAAGTCAACTGAAAGCGATCCAAGATACAACAATCCTCGCAGTTCTTCAGCGTCCAGTGACTTGCAAACGAACAATTGATATTCTTTGTTGCAGATGAAGAGTTGTTCCGGTGACAGTACGTTTCCCCGACCCGGACTCTGTTCGCCGCCTTCTGGGGGGATTTGCCGTATTTGGCTTGTACCGGCAATACATCCAGAATACTCCCTGCACTTACCCTCACCTCTCTGCGTGTGCTCTGATGGGCCGTTACTTCCTTGCTTATTGCAAAGCACATTCATACATTTACATGCTCGAAGAATGGTTCACCCTCTATGAGTGTCGAAGTTCATAGTAGTCATTACCACGCCTGTTGTCTATGCACAGTAAGTAGATCATAGAAGGAACAACAGCAACTATGTCCTCTAATCGTTATGCCAATGCATCATAAAATTACATTAGTCCCCAGGTGAACTCCTATGCTCCGAGCAAAATCCCATCAAGTTGGCTTCGAGACAAATTGTGGCCAGCACCGACGCTGTGCCTCAGGACCGTTGGTTAGCGCCGTTGGTCGACGATACGAGTTTCGAATGGGCCAGGCTTTGGCGCAGAACGTCCCAGTTCAATCCATCGACCTTTTCCCCACCTAGCGACTCAAGGTCGGTAGACAGACCATTCAACTTCCCTGTCGCTAAGCGTCGCATCATGACCGTATCTTTATGACCATGAAGCCCCCGAGCATTGCCCCGGAGCAGAGACTCCTCGAACCATTCTTCCTCCTGCTCATCGAACGGGAGACCGATCAGTTCCATAGCCCTCGCACTTCGCGCGGGGCCGGCCTCGCTCGTCAGGACAAATTCAATGAGCTTCTCCAGGTAGCTCTGACGGAGCTCTTCATCATGCTTGCGCGTGAAGTAGAAGGCCTCGGTTACGCTTGCGCGGCACATGGTCTGGAAGAAGGCCCGCTGAACCTTCTCGGTAGCCAATGGCGGGGCCACGGTAAGGTAGTATGCCATGACAAGGCTGTCGTCGTGTCTGGGGAGGGTTGGAAGGGTTAAAGCGTAGAGGATTTCGTCGGGAAATGTGGGGATGATGGAAGGCTCAGTCAGGTATTCGACAGCTCGCTGCTCATAGGCAATGGTCAGTCATCTGCAGTCGGCTATCACATCGGCGAAGATAAAGCGTACCTTGAACTCCAATCTGTCAAGGTTCCAGAGACCGTCTATGAACAGCCTATACTTCTCCGGTAGGTGACACCGGCGGGAGAATTGCGTAGCCGCATCGTTGCTGGCGCCGCGGCAGTCTTTGAGGATGTAGTATATCAACGATTGCTTGTGATGGATGTCGAGTGGAGAGGATACGATGTGTCCGATCAGTGTGCGCAGGTCAGTGTTCGACCGAGGAGGGTAGAGCCGCGTGACTATCAAATTGTGCCTGGTCAATCCTTTGTTCGAATTTCCAACCTTGGGGAGCGGAGAGAGCTACCTGCTTTGACGCCGAGCAATCCCAAGAGTCTGTCTGCAAAAAGCCGGTCCTCTAAGGCGCGGCGATTTGAGATGATCTGTTCAATGAGCTTGCCATCGTAGCTGAAGTCCTTATTGAACTGAAAGATGGAATCGAAATCCTCCCAAGGCGCCATCTTGAGCAGTGCTGGCGAGTTGAACACACTCCTTCGGAATCTCCTCGAGCGCCGACGGTAATATTGAAGCCGATATTGACAGTACCGTACGGCTCGATCGGTACATGAAGGCGGTGGGGCATGTGACTGGAAGATGCAAATGTTGTGGCAGAAAAATAACACTATTCCGCTTCAGGCGGCGATGTAAACAACCCACTTTCCACCTGTGGCGCTTTCAAATGTCAACTTTGGCACCTGCACAACGCTTGAGATTCCGCCTTGATGCAGCACCCACAGGCGACTAACAACAGTACAGCATAATGTCGTCAATTGCCAGAGGCCGACCATCCCGGCGCGCTGCCCCTCGCAGAAGTTACGTCCCAGAAGAAACGCCATCAGACGAGGAAGATCCTGGAAATGTCACCCCCACCGCGCCGTCCCGCCACGGGGATGATGATGACGACGAAGAGGAGGGCGAACGTACCCCGGTCCCCAAGAAGCCCAGCGCAGTCAAGAGATCATCACGCAGACAAGTCACCGCCGAACCACCTGCTTCCACATCGAGTGCCGCTCGCACGACACGCAGACCCCGCAAGTCGAGGGCGGTAGACCCGTCGGAGTCGTCGCAACTGATTGATGAAGGCGAAAGTCTCGCCAGCGTTCAAGAGCCCGAAATTTCATCTACAATGAGCGCTCCTCGCGCAACGCGCAGATCACGCAAGTCGAGGACGGTCGACCCATCGGAGTCTTCGCAGTTGATGGATGAGGGTGAAAGTTTTGCAAGCGTCAGAGAGCCAGAGGAGCCCACTACATCGAGCGCTCCTCGCACGACGCGCAGGACCAGAAAATCGAGGACAGTGGAGCCGCTGGAGTCGTCGCAGTTGATTGACGAGGGTGAAAGTCTGGCTAGCATCAGAGAAACAGAAGAACTCACTGCATCGAGCGCTCCTCGTACTACACGCAGGGTCCGCAAGTCGAGGGCTGTAGAACCATCGGAGTCATCGCAGTTGATAGATGAGGGTGAAAGTCTTGCAAGCGTCAGAGAACCGGAGGATCCGTCAACAGCTGCCCCTCGTCGCAGAACACGCAAGTCAAGGGCAGTAGAGCCGTTGGAGACATCGCAGTTGACGGAGCCTAACGAAGAGGGTGAGAGTGTTGCGACAGTGAAAGCACCGGGCTCTCCGTCTGAGGAAACTCTCGTTGCAGTGAAAACTAAGGGTACGATCTCACCCCGCGAAAGTCGCATCTCCACGCCCAATTTGGACCATATCTCATTCTCCAATCTAGAGCCCTCCACATCCCCGCAGCCGCAGCCTCGAATGCAAAGAGAAAGCGTTCCGCCACTCGCCGATATTACAGATGCGGCTGTGAACAAGTCCCCGTCGAAGTCGCCATCGAAGTCCGTTGAAGACGAAAAGCCGCAGATACCCGCAATCAACCCGAATACAGCATTGCTTGAGAAGCCCATGGACATCATGCTCAAGTCCCGGTCAGCCGCTCCGTCGGCCTCCCAGGAGCCGTCAGGTCCGACCAGTCGCTTGATGATCACTACCCTGGTCATGATGAATTTCAAGAGTTACGCCGGAAAGCAGATCGTGGGCCCCTTCCATGCATCCTTTTCCTCCGTTGTCGGGCCCAATGGATCCGGCAAGTCGAACGTCATTGATGCATTGTTGTTTGTTTTCGGATTCCGAGCGAGTAAAATGCGTCAGGGCAAGATCTCGGCTTTGATCCATAACTCGGCCAATCACCCAAACCTGCCCTCTTGTGAAGTTGAGGTTCATTTCCAGGAGATCCTTGACCTGCCCAACGGCACCCATGAAGTAGTCCCAGATTCCCAACTTATTATCTCCCGAAAGGCTTTCAGAAACAACAGCAGCAAGTACTATATGAACGCCAAGGAAACGAGCTTCACCGCCGTGACGACGCTGCTCCGTGATCGAGGTATTGATCTAGACCACAAACGCTTTTTGATTCTTCAGGGTGAAGTCGAGTCTATCGCCCAGATGAAGCCTAAGGCTGCCAACGAACACGAGGATGGACTCTTGGAGTATCTCGAGGACATCATCGGAACTTCGAAATACAAGACGCCTATCGACGAGGCGGCTACGGAGCTCGAGACGCTGAACGATGTCTGCGTCGAAAAAAATAACCGTGTCCAGCACGTTGAGAAAGAAAAGGTTGCCCTCGTAGATAAGAAGGACAAGGCCCTGGCTTATATTCGGGACGAGAACGAGCTTTCTGAGAAACAGTCCGCTCTCTATCAGATCTACATTGATGAATGCGCGGACAACATTCGAGTCACCGAAGAAGCCATTCTACAGATGCAGGAACTGCTGAACATGGAGCTCGAAAAGCACGAGGGTAACGAGTCCGGGATCAAAGAGCTTGAGAAGGCCTACAAACGCGGAATGCGAGAATACGAAAACATGGAGAAAGAGGTGCAGGCGATTGTCAAAGAAATGGCCAAATATGACAAGGAGAACGTGAAGTTCGAGGAGAAAAAGAAGTTTTTGGTCGGCAAGCAGAAGAAGCTAGAAAAGACCATGCAAAGCACACGCCTGGCTGCTTCCGAATGCGAAAGCCTCGTGCAGAAACATTCTGATGATATCGAGAAGAAGACGAATGAGACCTCTGAGCTTGAGAAAGAGATGAAGGCTGAAGAGCAGGAGCTGGCTGAGATTCGTGAGAGCCTCAAGGGCAAAACCCAGGGACTTTCAGATCAAATCACTGCGAAGCAAAAGTCGTTGGAGCCTTGGGATGAGAAGATCAACAAAAAGCTCTCGGCCGTCGCTGTGGCGCAGAGTGAGCTTGACATCCTTCGCGAGCGAAGCAATGCTGGTACTGTTCTGCTCGAGGAGGCGCAGTCGAAGATCTCTTCCATCGAGGAAACGCTGGCCACCAAGGAGAACGATCTCGAGGAACGTAAAGCTCAGAAGACTACCCTTGAAGAAGAGGTTGCTAAGCTGAAACACGACCTCAAGAAATATGCTCAGAGAGAACCAGAGGTACGAGCCCATGTTTCCAGTGCTCGACAGAGAGCCGAGGAGGCAAGAGCTAGTCTTGCAAGCACTCAGAATCGTGGTAGCGTTCTGTCTGGTTTGATGCGCCTCAAAGAGTCCGGTCGTATCGAGGGCTTCCACGGTCGGCTTGGAAACCTCGGTATGATTGATGAGAAGTTTGACGTTGCTATCTCGACCGCGTGTCCTGCGCTGGACAATATGGTGGTTGACACGGTTGAAGTTGGTCAGCAATGCATCGATTATCTGCGGAAGAACAACCTTGGTCGAGCCAACTTCATCCTACTCGATCGCCTCCCGCGCCGGGATATGTCCAAGGTCTCTACTCCAGAAAAGGTCCACCGACTCTTTGACCTGGTCAAGCCCAAGGACCCTAAATTCGCTCCAGCTTTCTACAGTGTGATGCAGAACACGCTAGTCGCCGAGGACCTGGAACAGGCCAACCGCATTGCATATGGTGCGAAGCGGTGGCGCGTTGTAACCCTCAATGGCCAGCTCATCGACACCTCCGGAACGATGAGTGGTGGTGGCACCCGAGTCGCACGGGGCGCCATGTCGTCCAAGCAAGTCGCTGACACAAGCCGTGAGCAGGTGGCCAAGCTTGAGGGTGATTTGGAAGAGACGGAGAGGAAGTTCCAACACTTCCAGGAGAAGCAACGGCAGATGGAAGCTGCGATCCGGGAGAGAATGGATGAGATCCCGCGGGTGGAGACCAAGATCCAGAAGATCCTGATCGAAATCGAAAGTGCCAATCGCAGTCTTGCGGATGCTCAGCGTCGCGTCCAGGAGCTGAGCGCCGAGCATAAACCGTCCAAGACGGATGCCAGTCGAGCTGCAAGCCTTGAGAAGCAGATTGCCGCTTTAGAGGAAGAGATCGAAGATCTCCGCGAACAGAAAGGTGGTATCGAGGAAGAAATCCAAACTCTTCAGAACAAGATCATGGAGGTCGGTGGTGTGCGGCTCCGTGGACAGAAGGCCAAGGTCGATGGCCTCAAGGAGCAGATCAACCTATTATCTGAGGAGATCTCGAACGCTGAAGTCGGCAAGTCGAAGAATGAGAAGCTCATCACGAAGCATTCAAAAGCCCACGCCGAGGCGGAGAGGGAGCTGGAGCATGTTGCCGAGGAGCTTGAGAAGCTGAACGAGGATGTGGCCAACCAGGCTAGTGATGCATCTGGATGGAGGCAAAAGGTGGAGGAGGGCCAAGATGTAAGTTATGGTGTCGTATCAGCTTCAAAGCAGTTGGCTAACTTGTGACAGGCACTGGAAACCAAGAAGGAAGGCCTCCAGGCCATGAAGACTGAGCTTGATGAGAAGGTCGCTGAACTGAACGAGTCTCGAGCCACGGAGATTGAAATGCGCAACAAGCTTGAAGAGAACCAGAAGGCTCTCGCGGAGAATGAAAAGCGCGGGCGTTACTGGCAGGACAAATTGTCCAAGCTGACGCTGCAGAACATCAGCGATCTGGGCGAGGAGCAACAGGCGACCGAACTTCAGGTGTACACCAAGGATGAGTTGTCCGAGATGAACAAGGAGTCGTTGAAAGCCACCATTGCTGTTCTCGAGGAGAAGACTCAGAACGCGTCCGTTGACCTGGCTGTCATTGAAGAGTACCGCCGCAGAGCGGCTGAACACGAGGCTCGCTCGGCCGATTTAGCCACTGCTGTTGCATCGCGAGATAGTGCTAAGGCTCGTCTTGACGGTCTCCGGTCGGCCCGCTTGAACGGATTCATGGAAGGCTTCGGTGTCATCTCCCTTCGCTTGAAGGAAATGTACCAGATGATCACCATGGGAGGTAACGCCGAGTTGGAGTTGGTCGACTCGCTCGATCCCTTCTCCGAGGGTATTCTGTTCTCCGTCATGCCACCGAAGAAGAGTTGGAAGAACATCGCCAACCTGTCTGGTGGAGAGAAGACATTGTCCAGTTTGGCGCTGGTGTTTGCTCTGCATCACTACAAGCCCACGCCTCTCTATGTCATGGACGAGATTGACGCCGCTCTTGATTTCCGTAACGTGAGTACCTTCTATTGGATTTCTACCAGTGAGTCTTC